TTGGTCTCCCCCTGTTCTATTCATCCCCGTTCCCCCTCCAGGTACACCCCACGGATTGATCCGCGAGCCGGGTCAAGTGGCGCCCAGCATGGGGGCTCCTGGCATGGGGGAGTTAACAAGGGAGCCGTTCCAGAACGCCAGCTAGAATAAAAGCAAACTGAATCAAGGACCAAGGCTAGAAATGCGCGGACGACTGCCCAACGTGCTGCCCAAGTCATGGTGTGTGAATGGCAACCCCATCCCCTTTCCCGGACATGGGTCAAGCATTGAGCGAACATGAATTGTTCATGGGAGGCCTCAGCAAGACATTAAAGACAAGAGGGGTAAGGGTTAGAACAAAAGAATTGTTGCAGTATTTTCAGTTTATCAGTAAGGTTTGCCCTTGGTTCCCCCTAGAGGGCTCTATAGATACCTAGAGGTAGAAAAGAGTAAGAGATGCTCTAAAAGATTATTACAGGGTCTTTGGCCCTAAAAAGGTCCCAGTTACAGCCTTTGCATACTGGAATTTAATCTCGGAGCTACTTACACAGCGCTGCCGAGAGCCTCAAATTGATAAAACAATCACCCAAGGTGAAGTAGCCTTACACACTTCCACTTCGCCAACATCACTCCCTTCAGGAGACAAATCTAAACCTTCCTGCCTCTCCGGTGAGTCAAATGATTGTTAAAAAAGCCCCAAGATGGCAGCCCACCGCCATCCGAGCCCCTACCACCCGAGGCCCACCACAACTCTCTATCTAAAATGGCGCTTGCCTCACTTCCCCCACAACAGGGTGGGCCCCTCCCCAAAATGGCGTTTCCGGGGATGGAAACAAATGTACCTCCCCAAGATGGCGCCATACAGCCGCAAGACAGCGTGAGCGCCACGCCACTCCACTAGCTCCACAAGTCATTAGGACCTATACGCCACTCACAGTGGCAGCTTTAAAAGAATTAAAGACAGCAGTTGCCCAATATGGCCCTACAGCTGCTTTCACTCTTGCTGTTTTAAATTCTCTGGCTGACGGCTGGCTCATACCTACAGACTGACAAAGATTGGCCCGAGTGACTTTATCGGGTGGGGATAATCTTTTGTAAAAATCAGAATATACAAAAAATTGCAAAGAGACCGCTAGGTGCAATACACAAGCCGGCAATGGGTGGGACCTTAATATGTTAATAGTGAAAGATACCTATGCCAACAGAGAGGCCCAAAAGCAATTTAAGGGCAATATGAGTTCCTCAAGAGCATTAAGCAGGGGCTGGAGATTTAGCTGAGTGACATAAGTGAAGCACAAAGTTGTGAGTTCAGTCCCCAGGGCTGGAGATTTAACTCAGTGGCACAGTTGCCTGCCCAACAAATAAAAGGCTGTGAGTTCAATCCCTGGTACCACTGACATTGAAACTGCTTGTCAGCAAGGCCTTGTTATGGCTGCTGCCTTGCAAGGGTTTACAGTTAAACAGTTCTTATCTCAAAAACATAAACAAAACTGTTTTACCTGCAGAGAGACTGGTCATTTTACAAAAAGACTCCAGAGATTCCAATGTCAATTACTTTGACTCATTTAACTGATCGGAGTGATACTGGTCTAGTCTCTTAAGTTTAATTTCAACATATATAAGGATGGGGATAGCTGCTGAGAAAAAAAAAAAAATGAGAGAACTTTATGTTGAGAAAAAACTAAAAGAAATAGAAGACAGTCTATTCCCAAAGATCAATTACCATCCGTTAGCTCTCCCCAAATCACGGGGCGTAGATTTAGACCCACAAACTTATGATATCCTTTGAGCCACTCACCATGTACTTGACCTCACTAAACCTGCTTTAGTGCAAGACTGTTGGTTGTGCATGGCCTTAGGCACTCCTATGCCCTTAGCCATCCCCTCCAACTCAACAATTGACCCCTCTCATGATCCATATAATTTTACCTGTAGACCTTCCCAATCATTTCTAGTCCAGCCATTAATAACACCCAACATATCCATGACCTGCCTACAGGGCTCTGTCCAAAATGATTCTACCCCTATAGATATAGGCCATCTCCTATCCACCGCCTGTGTTCAATTTGTCAATCATACAGGCCCCCCGTGTCCCTCAACAGGACACATTTTTGTCTGCGGTAATAATAGGGCCTATACCTATATTCCAGCCAATTGGACAGGTACATACATAACTGCTTCCCTCCTGCCCAACACAGATATTGTCTCAGGTGACCAACCTATCCCGGTGCCAACACTTGATTACACTGCTGGCCACCAAAAACGAGCAATAACACTGATCCCGCTTTTGGTGGGAATGGACATCACTGGTGCTGTAGCCACGGGTACTGCTGGCCTCGCCGTTGCCTTAGATAAATATGATGACCTGACCAACCAGTTGTCTAAAGATGTTCAAGCCTTATCCTTTACGATAAAAACTCTCCAAAACCAATTTAGACTCACTGGCAGAGGTTGTCTTACAAAACAGATGAGGGCTAGACCTGCTCACGGCAGAGCAGGGGGGAATCTGTCTTGCCTTACAGGAAAAATGTTGCTTCTATGTCAATCAGTCTGGTGTTGTGCGAGGCAAGCTCCAAGAAATAGAAGAACGACTTCAACAGCGACGACAACAAATGGCCGCTAACCCCTTCTCCTTGATGTGGGGCGGGGAGGGGGGACTTTTCCCCTACCTAGTGCCCCTTTTGGGTCCCCTAGCTGCCCTGTTGCTTCTCCTCTCTGTGGGTCCTTCTATTTTTCAAGGATTATGACGCTCATTAATAACCGGATAGACGCGTTTATGGCAAAGCCCATTCAGGTACACTATCACCAGCTGGAGATGGCAGATCAATAAACCGACCAGGAAGGAATTCCCACGAGTGGCCCATATGATGATGTGGCCTAACTGCCCTGGGGCAATGGACAGGCAGCCAGAGACGGGCAACTAGGACATGCATGTTACTCCACGGGCGCCTAAGACAGGCACAGGACCAACTGTTGTCCTGCAAGCCCATGACCGGTAAGGCCTGGTTGGGTTCATGTAATGAGGTTCCTTGACCTAAAACAAGAGCTGTCCTCACAGGGCCTGCCATACTCCTGATTAAATAATATAGAAAGGGAGGAGATGTAGGGAGTGGCACGAACGCCCCATTGCTGCCTCCCTGCCTCCCTCTCCTATGGGCATATGATGTACCCGTCTACGTTACCCATAATCCTTTCCTGCTTACGTCACATACCCGGACGTGACGATGACCCATCAGAAACCACCCCGTAGCCTCTTCCTGTCCCACCAGCCCGCCCTTGGCCCATAAAGGATGTGATCACTTCCTGAATAAACGAGGCTTGATCAGATTCTCTTGACTTGCTTCAATCTCCCTTTGTCTCCCCACTGTTCTATTCATCCCCGTTCCCCCTCCAGGTACACCCCACGGATTGATTTGCGGGCCGGATCACACAATTTAATAAGACTGTCTCAAAAAATTTTACAAAGTGGGAGTTGTGGATGTAAGAGTTGACAAAGTACAGTTTAGCTGAGGAGCTCCAGGACTTGTTCTGGCTATGGATCTTTTTTCCCAGCCTATTTCTTCCCAATCTACTACTCCCCAAGACATTTTTATAAGCTAGATTGGAACACATAATCTGCTCTTTGTTAAAGGGAATTCATTCATTGTGGTTTTCCTATTTATTAGCTTACCAAATCATTTAACCCAAATTTTGATATGTAAAATGGAGATAATATCTAAATCATAGTTACTATGGTGTTTAAATGAAATAACATTTTTCAAATTTCCTTAGCTTAGTACCTAATAAAAGATAAAATAAACTTAAAATAAAACCATATATACTGATTGCTATAAAAAAGCAGCAAATGGGACAAAGACTGAAGCAATACAAGTTCTGAAATGCAGGAGGAAAACATTCAAATTACATTATGAGCTATTTAAAATAATCATCAATATAATCTCCACCATATTCCATTTAAATAATCATCCTTATCAGCTCTACTCTGTTCAAACACAATGCTTGGCACTTCATCTTATTTCACTCTCAAAACTCATTTAAGGTATTCATTACCAGTTCCCAACAAAATGGAATAAAATCCAGTAACAACCTGGCCACGCTGCAACTCCCACATAGGGAGAGCTCTTGTCTGCTTTATTCTCAATCATTTAACAGATGACCTGGTGAACAGCAAGCACTCAAAAATGTATGTTGACTATAGTGGTGAACAATAAAGAAAAACTGTAAAAGGGTAGTTGCTCAGGTCATATGTAAATAGTGTATCTGCATTTAAATATGCATCTGCCCGATTCCAAAGCCCATGCTTGTGGTTCCTATGTCTGTTATGGTTTGTGACTCGATGTACCCCAAGGCCTCATGGAGTCATAGGCGGGGCTTTTTCAGAGGTGGCTGGATCTAGAGTGTGTGACACTGGAACTGATTCACGGCACAGTGCTGGCTCCAGGGCACTAGGATTAGGAGTGTGGCCCCTCCCGCCCTAAGGAGCCTGGGTAAAATAAAAAAGAAGAACAAAGGGCACTGGTCAGGTTCCTGCTTGCTTGCTGCTTCTGTCTTCCACTTGCTATGAACTGGTCCTACTCTGCGATGCCCCCTGACCAGCCACACTGCCCCAGAGCCAGCTCACTAAGGACAGAAACCTCCACAAACTATGAACTAGATAAAGCTTTCCCCTTTAACTTTGCTGTTGGGTATTTTGTCTCAACAATGAGAAAAGTAACTAAGACAACATCTAAATCTTAAAAAGTCTTCATCAAACACAAGGATGACTGGTAATGACTAGAACGCAGTGCACTGTGGAAACCTGGGATTCGATGAGTCCTACAGATAAGGTGAAAAGTAGTTACAAAAAGAACAGTAGGAAATTTATCAAAATATATTGAGTATAATTGGTCCTTTTAAATGAAACAAACAATGGTAGTCGGCAAATTTTCATAGTATCTTATCACTGACAAAAAACATGCAGGAGAATAGTCAGGAAATGAAGCAGACAGACTCCACTGCCTACTGATTTCCAGAACACTTACCTCAGCAGTTTATGGCCATTAGTTGTGGCGACTTCAGCAAGACTGGTCAGAATCTTTAGATACTGGCTTTCACTCTGCTGAGACAAATGCTCCAGAACTTGCCGTAACTGTAGTTTTTATAAATTAAAAACTGATTACATAGTAATCCATTCAATTTTATTACAAAATTAAGTACCTATTACTATACTATCTTAAAGACAATTAGCTGAAATCAAGAACTTTACAATCATTTCGCCTTGCATAAATTTAAGAGTTAACAGACGATATAAAACTATGTTCAAAATTTCCTAGTGAAAAACAATTTTAAAATATAAAGTTGAAATCACCAAGTATATTTATATGCATGAAAATACAATTTCACAGGGCTGAGGGTTTAGCTCAGGGGCAAAAGTGCCTGCCTGGCAAGCGTGAGGTTGTGAGTTTGATCCCTGGCGCTCCCCCTTAGAAAATATAATTGCACATTTCTAAAGTTTTCAAGAGTTTTAGACTATAATTTCTAAGAGTAGATAAGTTATCAATATAGGGCCCAGGGCTAAGCTACCGCTCTGTGACAAAGTACTGCCTTGCCTACTCAAGAGCACTGGGTTTGAGCCTCAGAAACCGCAAAAGTAAAAGAAAGGAGAAAAAACACAGAGCCCCAAAACTAATGATTACTAATCTTAACATGACACTCTCAGATTCTTTTCCTCTATCCATGGGGAATAACTACATTAATAAGAGAACAAAGAATCAGAGACACAAAGAAAATTCAGAGAGGAAAATATAAGCACAAACTTTATCAATCTTTACATACAGTTGTCCCTCATTGTCCCTGTGAACGGATTCCAGAATCTTTATGGATACCAATATGAGCAGACACTCTAATCCCTTACATAAAATGGATAACAACTGGAATACTATAATCTACACACATTCTCCCATATACTTTAGGTCATCTATCGATTACTTATCCTAATGCAGTGTACATGCTATGTAAAGTTATCCTACTATATTGTTTAGGGAATAATGACAAGAAAGTGAGTATAGATGCCATTTTTTAATAAATATTTTTGAGATACGACTGGTTAAATCCACAGACACAGAACTCATGGAAAAAAGTATTAAGTATAATGCATACTTATCCAGCAACTGAGGTAAGCAAACGTAGGTTATTAAAATATTTGTAAAAATAAAATTACTAAGCGTATTTATAAAGTGTTATTATATGCTAAGCATAAGTAAAGCTTATTCATTTAACTGATAATTAGCGCAATTACATTACCATGTTTTCTCGGAGGTCTTCATTCTGTGTCATTTGAATAATAGTCTGGAAAAGCCTAGGGTGATACTGAATTAATACTTCACAAGTCTCTCCATATCCACCCTAAAAACAAGGCTTAAAATTATTCAGGTTTAAAACAAATTTCCTTTTAAACCTCATATTTTTCACAGGACAAAAGTCTTTCTACTCACATCTTACTCATAAAAAATAAATAATTTTACCATTCTGCTTCTATTATAAAGGACCTCAGAAGATACACTGAAACATACCTGCACACATAAATCCAAAGGAGTTACTCCATTTTTATCTGGCAAATATTTGGCTCCTCGTAAGAGAAGAATCTGTGCTGTATCTCTCTGACCATGACTGTACAGAAAGACAACAAAGTGAAAAAATATAGTATTTTAATTCAAAATTTCTCCTGTGAATGTGGCTAATACCAATGGAGGATTAATAATTTAATAAATTAAGACAGGAAGACATGAACTACATCTTCAGGAACCAAAAAAAAAAAAAGTTTCAAGCTGTCAAGTCATATTTTTACTCTATTGCTACGAAAGTGATCTATTAAATCTCAGAACTGAACTTGAGTTGCATTACTTGTAATAAGTCATATTTTGAGATAAGCAACTACTTCTCAAACTTCTGGTTAATTTTCTTCCTTCCATTCACTTCTGAATTCCTTTCTCAGTTCTAGCCTGATCTTTCTTCTAATACACATATCCAAATCTCAAGAATTCTTATTCTAAATGAGCCTCAACACTCAATATAAAGCATGACACTTTAATATGATATTTTAAAAAAATAAAGAGAATGGAAGGATGATGGATCAAATTAGGAACTGAAAGGAGAGACATTACTAGGGAAAAATATAATCTAGTTTTCAACCATCTAATTAACTCATTCGGTTAGGCTTCTGGGGCAGTTATTCAACCTAACCTAGAATAAACACCAACGAAACACAAATAGAATCTGAAGAGTGCTTCAGTGGACCCTTCATTAGATTTAGGAATGTGGGACAGAAAGTTTATCTCATGTACAAAGAAGAGGATGTGCAGAACTAAGGGAATAAAAAAGGAAGAAAGAATCTTTATAAAAGCAATAGAAAGACAAGAGGGAGGTGACACCTTGGAGAGAAGGAAAAGATCTTGAGGAATGTTAATTCCCTGGATTTAAGTAAGCTCAACATACAGAAGCCCTGTACGTAAAATATCATGTGGCATGTCCAAGGAAAAAAGAAAGGCTACAATTAGACAATCAGTAAGAAAAAAGAAAACGTTACTACGGATTTTATATAAATAAAAAGAACTTTAAGGGAATACCATAAACAACTATATGCTAAAGAATTAGATCAATCAAATGGGCAAATTCCTGGGAAAAATTCAAACTGATTCCAAAAACAATACAGAGCGCTGCCACCACGCACACATTAGCTGCCACTGGGGATGCTTCCCACCAGTCACCAGCTCAGGTCTGGGAGGCAGATGCCAGCCCTGCCCCACGAGCACACCAGCCGCCATCTGGGACGCTTCCTGCCACTGGGAGCCAGGGAAGCTGGGAAAAGCAGCAGCCAGCCCCACACCAGTGCACCCAGCGGCCACCACCAGATACATGTAGCCAGCATGGCCAGGAGAACTAACAGTCACGCTTCGCAGGAATCGAGGCCAGCGCGGGAAGTGCCTGGGAGTCCACTACCCGCTTGTCTAGAAGAAATGTCAAGACAAAGAAGCAAAAGGCAGTGTCTGGACTCCAACCAATGCAGAGCAAGTCCAGGAGATGGAGACACAGAAGAGACGGGGAGTCACACAGCTGACGTTTCTCAAGTGATGGCAACTGAGCTATCCATGAGGCTATGGAAAAAATTAGAACATGAATACTATCTCAGGTAAAAGAAGAAACAAAAAACATAATAAAAGAACTGCTAAGCACCTCTAAAGAAGGCATAGATAAGAAAACAGAGGAGCACAGGAAAATGAAGGAAACCTTGAAAGAACAGTGTAAGAAGGATTTAGAATGTGTGAAACAGGTCCAAGAGCTGTCCAGGAAATTAAACTCCACTGAAAAAGCTGGCAAAACTACTTGAAAGAAAATAAAGATAAGACTTTCAGACCTTGAAGACAGGTTTTCAGCTAGCGACTGCAAAAAGACAGATCTCTTAAAACCAACAAGGAACAAGGAAACAGCAATTCAATGGCTGCAAGACAATGCGTAGCAAAATAATTTAAGAATAATAGCTGTCAGCGAGAAAGCAGGACTCAACACAAATGACATGAAGAGTCTATTCACAGAAGTAATACCAGAAAACTTCCCAAGCATGGGAAAAGGACCTGACATACAGGTAGGTGAGGCAAATAGAACCCCGGCTAGCCACAACCAAAACAGATCTACACTCAGACACGTAATACTCAAGATCCCAGAAATTCAACACAAGAACAAAATAATAAAAGCTGTTAAAGAAAAGAAACAGATCATCTATAAGGGAAAACCCACCAGAATCATGACAGACTTCTCAACACAAACCATGGAGCTGAGAAGAGGTTGCCCTGAAGTATTTCAAGTCCTGAAAGAAAACAACTTCCAACCCAGAATGATGTACCCTGCAAAACAAGATACTTCCATGACAAAGAACAACTGAAGGAATTCATGACCACCAAACCAACCCTATAAAGAATACTGAAGGACATTTAGAGAGATAAAAGTAACCACGGTTGCCAGGGACTTAGCTCAGCAACCTAAGCGCCTGCCTGGCAAGCGCAAAAGTTGTAAGTTTGATCCCTGGTACAAAAAAAAATGGATCCAGGAATAGCAGCAGAGAGGGTTCAACAAGTGATGCAGTCAACTGAATGGAGGAGAAAAGTAGGCAGCCAACAGCAGGAAAATAGCATGGCAGAGATGGCCAGTGCATGTCGACCATAACCATTAATGTCGATGACCTCAATTCACCAACCAAAAGAAACACATGCAGAGTGGATCTGGAAACAGGATCCATCAATATGCTTTATACAAGAAACACATTTAACCTGAGAGGGGGGTTATAGTCTGAAAGCTGAAGGAGAGAACAATGCTCCATGTGACCAGGACCCAGAAAGAAGTGGGGGTAGCTTCTCCGTCAGCTGCAGACTGGATAAGAAAGTCGTGGCACTTTTATACAATGGAAAACTCTCAGCTATAAAGACAGGTAACCTTGAGGCTCTTGCAGGTAAACGGATACAACGTGAGATCATGCTCATGGGTGAAACGGTTCAGAGTCACATGAGTGAACACCGTGCTCTCTCCCTAGTACAAAAAACTAAAGGAATTAGTGGGATCCAAAATGCACAATAGACACTGTGAAAGTGAAAGGGGAGGAAAGGTCTCAAGGGAATGCCGTGGGCATTATTAATCTATTATCGTGTTTGGAAACCCTCTTGTTTTCATTGCTCTGATTAGTTTGGTTTCATTCTGTTATATCTGATTTGATTTGATTATATTTGGTGGCATGGGCAGCTATTTCAAAGATAACAAAATATATTATGGTAGCCATTAGTGATTTCCTATTCTCTTGTTTGAAAGCCCTGTGTTGCTTTTGTCGTTTTGTTTTGATTGATTTCATTCTATTTGGTTTTGTTTGATTTTATGTCTGATGGTATAGGCAGCTAATCTGGAGATACAAACAAAAGGCATTATGGTAGCCATTGCTCTGTTCCTATTATCTCACTTTGAAGTCCGGTATTGCTTTCACTGTTTTGTTTTGATTGGTTTTATTCTGTTCTGTTTTATTCAATTTTATTATGTCTGCTGGTGTGGACAGTTATTTTGAAGACAACAAGAGGCATTATGGTAGCCATTATTGATTTCCTTTTACCTTGTTCTGAAGTCCTGCATCATGTTCGTTATTTTGCTTTCACTGACTCTATTCTGTTGTATTTCACTTGGTTTTATTCTCTTCAAACTAAAAAATACTGTGGCAAGAATCATGGGATAACTGTGTTAAAAGCAGGAGGGATCACTCTGAGGGGATTACAGCAATATGTCTTTTTCTGTAATAACTTTTGTTTCGTTGTCTTTTTGAGGCAGTTTCACAATGCAGGCTGGTCTTGAACTCACTTTGTAGCCCTTGCTGACCTCAAACTTGCAGCAATCCACCTGCCTCAGCCTCCTGAGTGCTGGTATTACAGGCGTGTGCCACCACACTTGGTTTTTATAACCTTTTAAAGAATTTAACATTCATCATACTTTTTTATCACACCTACTGTATCATTCTTTTTATACTTTGTAATGATTACCTTTTTAATACAAATAACAATATTTTGGAATTGATCTAAGAACAGTATCTAATTTACACCAGTTAAAAAAAAGCAAAGAACCAAGAATCAGTGAAACAATCTGAAAAGTGATTAATTTTACTTCTGTACCATAAATACTCATTTAGCAACATGTGTCATTAACCTGGCAGTACTGGTCGAGATAATCTACAGTACAGTACAGCTAATAGCGATTACTTTGTAATCCTTTTTGCACTTAAACATGAAGACTAAGTTAAAAGGGAATAACCTATGCTTTATTTAGAAAGACAGTGATACTTTTACAAGTCAAAGATCTGTACTTTTATAAAGCTACTCAGTTCTACTTTAATGGAATCTCTGTTTTACAACTATCTAATATCCACTTGTCTAATCTTCCCATTAAAATGTGAACTTCTTGACAGCAGATGTGTTTCACAGCATGACAGGCTTGTAATGGGCAGCTAGCTTGTAATGTACTTAATATACTCAATAAACTGTATTACAAGCCTCAGCTTCACATGCTACTCTTTTGAAACAGCATTAAAGACTTGCACCATAGAAAAATGACAAGTAGAAGCTGGATGTGATGGCACGTATCGTAACACAATTCTCTGAACTACCTTGTCTAACAGCTCAAGAACCTCCATGTCAGTGGGGTCCTGCCTCTTCCAGAGGAACGACACACGCATAGAAGGGCCGAGAATCACCGGGACAGACAGGCCTACCGGTGTCCCCGCTCCATCTACTAGTGTTAGGGTTAGACCTCCTGATCCGATCATGTTTCTACACCACTGTCCGTGTTTAGCCTGCACAACAAAGTCTTCAACAAAACCAGAAGGACAGAGACAGGGAGCTTTCGGACAGCTGAACAGAGGCAGCCTGGAAGGATGTGAGTAAGAGCTCAGGCGTGTGCTGGGACTATGGCACATCCCAGGTCCACCAGAGGCTCCTGTGCTCCGTCCCCTTCCTGACCCCACCCCACCAGTACATTTATCTGGTTGCTCATTTGTATCTTTTAAAATATTCTTTATAACAGACTTCTAAATATTAACATAGTGTTTCCCTAAGGTCTATGAGCTTGGCTAGAAAATTAATCAAATCCAAAGCGGGGAGGAGTTTCCACAGGAACTTGAATTAGTAGAAATTCAAGTCAGAAATTCGAGAAGCCCAGAGCTGTGACTGTCATGGCAAACTGGGCCCTTATAATGCTTGACTGACTGTGTCAACTTGAGTTTAGAAGATTAAATCAGCTCAGCACCTGCACCCTCGGGACAGCCTGGAAGGTACAAAGGGGAATGAGGAAAGGCAGATCTGCCTCTGCTCTTCAGAGGAGCTACAGTCTTCCCTTCAACCTGGCTTTCCTCTCCTGCTTCTCGGACAGGCTCTTCACTTCTGTCCCAGACTCCTAAGCCCTCTAGCCCAGACTCTCTGGTTTCTGCCACGGATCCTTCAGCCTTCCCTCACAGACCTGCGCAGACACTGCAGTAAGCACCACACATTGCACTGAAACCTTCAGTAACCAGTGTGAGACACCCACTGCACTCTTCCTCGTCCAACTCTACGGGTGACCATCACAAGCCCACCTTGTAATTTCTTATACATTTGTATATCTGTTATGTCTTTTTCTCCAGTAAACCCTGACTGATACAGCCCTCAATCTGGGATCCAACCCTAGGAAACTCCCTGATGGCCACTGCAGAATAAATTGCTTGCTTGTTAATGGGGAGAAATCCCCACGTTTGGGATCACAGAAGTGATCTGTGTGGTAAGTATATAGAAAAAGACACTAAGTTTAAATTTGATTTTCCTCTGTATCCACAGATCAATTTCCAACCAATCAAAAGCTGCCCATTCATGACCAAATGCACAGCTACAGCCAATTAGGTGTTCTATTTACTTCTACATTCAGCCTACAAAGCTCACCACTAGGCTGGAGCTCTCTGAACCTCTTTGGGTTTCAGTACTATCCAGTTCACATATTGTTCTTCGTGCAAATGAATTGCTAAACTTAATTTATCTGAAGTTTTTAACTTTTTCTTTTTTAATTTGAAGTTTTTCCAGTTTTTCTAGCTGAGAATACCACAGCTCAAAAGTGAATGAGATTGTTTGAAATCTACAGTTAAAAGAATAGAATTTGAGCCAGGCATGGTGGTGCACACCTGTATTTCTAGCACTCGGGAGGCTGAGACAGGAGGAACATTGTGAGTTCAAGACCAGCCTGGGCTACAAAGTGAGCTCAAAGCCAGCCTGAATGGCATGGCAAGACCTTATCTCCAATGGACAAAGAAAAAAAAAGCACAGAATTTGAAACAATACCCAGGTATACCTGAGAGAGTACTATAATACAATTTAAATAAAAAACAAAGTCTGAGGATATAACTCAGTAGAGAGCTTCCCCAGCATGAATGAGGTCTTAGGTTTAATCCCTAGCTCAGAAAAAAAAAAGTGCATCATAAGTCAGAAAGCAAAATCACTGTAGTGTTTTGTGCACTGCTCCTAACCACAAATTACATACACCACATATATGTGGAGTGGATGGGCATAAGAGTGTACATGCGAACCTGAAGTGTGCACATAATTACTAGCTGCTCCTTAAGGACAGGGTTAGTTTTTGTGAGCTCATGTGTGCATGCTTCTGTGTGTGTGTGCACATGTATGTATGTGTGCGCACGTACGTGTGTGTGTGTGTGTGTGTGTGTGTGTGTGTTGTAATTTTGAAAGTGCTAGAGACTGAATCCATAGCTTTGCACTTCCCAGGCAAGCAGCCTATCACTGAGCTGTACCCCGCCCCTACTTATTATCACACAACTGAAGCTTGTAACAGTGGCGGAACACACTAAGCACTACCTAGATATTTGATTACATGAATGAAAAAGCAAACAAAATACACAATTTAAGAAAAAGACCCAACTGCAATATAAAAGTATCTTAACATATAACTTAATATCTAACAACACTGATTTAATAATATTTTTAGGAATCCTAAATACAGATAAAGCAAAGACACAGCTCTGATCCATGATATACTTCAACAGCTTCTCCCAAAGGAACTCAGCTATTGAATAAAATGAACTATAGGAAAATTATAATATAAATCAAAAGCTTATCCTATAACATCAAAACTCCAGCAATTAAATACAATGTGATTTTTCCTCACGTAATTAAGTAACAGAACCAGTCTGTTATTCTCCATCTTTAAAGAAAGCACAGTATTCATGGGAAAACAACAGCTTCAAAAAATACACAGAAATGTATGTTGGGGAATGTACATGTAGAGGGGAATGATAACACCCTTTAGTGGCTCTGTCTAAAATATAAAATACCCTACCTGCAAGCAAAGTACAGTGGGGTGGCTCCTGATACATTTGGCCTGTTGATATCGGCACCGCTGTCTAGCAAGCACTGCACAGTCTGAGGAGAAAAAACAAGGTAACATCAGAGAAGTCAAACAAAACACACAACTCTCAGAACTTTAATCCACAAAAAGAAAATCCTCCCCAGAAGCTGAAGCTTTAAAGAAAAAATGAATGTGAAACACGTGAATCATGATGGCTGAGCAGACTCAACAGAGGTAAGTTCCCTGAACCTGAGTCACGTATGTGGAACCCTCAGCGTGGTCTTCCTTACTTTTCTCAGTGTTGAAACAAAACACTTAATACCCACAAGTATAGGAGGAAGCTGGCCGTTAGCTCACAGTGTGCAGAAGTTTCAGTCCATAATCAGCTGGCTCCAATGCAAGATGGCATCTCAGAGGAGAACGCCTCATGGCGGGCAGAAGGCACAAAGCAACAAGCAGAGGACAGAAAAAGCAAGCAAGCTCCTTCCGCCCCTTTCACCTTATGCAGGCCACTCAAGCTCAGGAGCTCTCACACCCTCGACCGGCCCTAGAGCCCTGCGCCTACCACTGCACCACTGCACCGAACCAATGCCAGCGCCACACACTCCAGGTGCAGCCATCTCTGAAAAGGCCCACCTGTGACAGCACGAGGCTTTACGGGGACATTTAGACACAAGCCCAGGCAAATGGGATACGTATTTTTTAGCCTAGGAAAGTTGCTGAGCAGCGCCGTATCGCAGGTGGTCAGCTGTCACATGTGGCCACTGAGCACTTGAAACACAGCCAGTACAACTGAGAAGCTGAATGTTTAATTATAATTAATTTTAATTTTAATTCCAACAATGAACTGGACCTGCTTTAGAAATCTGAATTTATAAACAAACGTTCTACCTCTAAAAGCAAAAAAGTAGGCATCACGCTATAACTTTCTCAAAAGTTAAAAACACATAAAGGATAAGTATAAAATTACTACCATAGTTCTTTTCTTGTTTTTTTCTTCGTTTAAAGATTAAAGAAACTTCAAAACGAGGTAAGAAGAGGGTAACAATGGTTAATACATGTTATTATCTTTAGTTACTCAGAGTATAAGATATCAGCATTTAACTGTCCAAACAATATTAGCACAAACCTTTCTTTTCAATGAACTAAGTTAAATGCTGATATCTTGTTAGCTATCTTTCATATATACAGTGTATATATAAATACATGTATTTTTTGTTTTATTTTTGCCTTCCTTCTTTTCTCCATTCCGTCATCCCAGTTTCTCTTTCCTTTTGCACAGTTTCTTCCCATTTCACAGTATCTATTGTACATTTTGGGTCTTATTTACTTTCTCAGCTTCTCACATTAGTGAGATAATACGAAGTTTACGCATGCGCACCTGGTTTATTTCACTTATGAGTATGGTCTTGAGTTGCATCTGTTTACCTAGAGAAGTCTCACGTTTATCCTTCTTTACAGCTGACTAGTGTGCCACTGTATAAAAAGATCGCATCTTTTTGACCCATTCCACAGCTGATGGGCATCTGGGTTGTTTCCAAGATTCAGCTGTTAAAAATTGTGCTGCCACAAAAATGGGTACACATATATCACTGTGGTTAAGATGCTTTTAATTCTTCTGGGAAGATACCTAGAAGACGAATAGCTGGATCAAATGGAACCTCCAATCTTAGTTTTTGAGGACTCTCCACATGGATTTCCACAGTGGCTGCACAGTGTCTCAGTTACTTTTTTTAGTGTGGAGATAAAATACCTGACGCCCCAAATTAAAGCAGCAAAGGTTTATTTGGCTCACAGTTTGCAGAGGTTTCAGTCCATACTCAGCTGGCTCCAAGGCAGGGTAGGATGCCAAATAGGTCTCACAATCAGTGGAATGACACAGTAATCACATACTCTTAACCCCAGCATCAAACATTTCTAGATTCCGTCATCTCTGAAAAAGCCCACCTATGAATGCATGATGAAACCCAAACAAAATACTAAAAAGCTAAGAAGCCTTTTTCCTATAAAATAGTTCCCAATATTGGCTCAGTTTCTTTGACAGTCATTCATATGTGCTTGGTCCCTTGAGATCTACCTCTGCAATCATTTGACTCATACAAAACAGAAGTATGCTAACGTAAAATCTTTTTTTTTTTTTTTTTTTGTCTTTTTCCTTTTCATTGGTACCAGGGATCAAACTCACAACTGCCTGCTTCCAAGGCAGGCGCTTACGCCACTGAGCTACACCCCCAGCCCCGCTAACGTAAAATCTTAAAAATATACATTTGATGAGTAGGGCAAGTCCCATCTAGAAACCTTTCTAAAATTATTTTCTGAATCCTCATGTGAGTTTCTCCTGTAAAAGAAAATTAAAAATATGAGATAGTTTTTGGAATTACTGTTCAATTTTACTTCTGAGTTGAAAATGTGTTTGTCTTGCTGCTATTCCAAAACTTAGAACTATGTCAGTCACATCTGTACAAAGAACAAAAACAAATACAGCAACACAGTAAGTCAGTCGGTAAGTTTTCTAAAGACAGCAAGCAAATCGTAATTGACTCAGAGAAAGCTGCTCTAAAAGACTGCAAATGGGAGAAAACTTGTCCTCATTTGAGGACCCAATAAGCAATCAGATTCTCAATGCCGCGCATACACACACACACACACACAGGAACTGAAAATAACAGGCACCTTTGAAGGCAGGATGGTTATCTAGAGATAAGAGGAGGAGTAGATGAAAAGCCGTAAAGACACTGGCCCTCCACTCTTGTTTCTTTCCTCCCATCCCACACCAGTAGTCACTATCCCCCCACACTGTTTCAAAGACGGGATGTTTATTCTTGGACAGAGTGAGCAGGGAGCTTCTGCACTGACAGGCAAAAAGTACAGGTGAAAGCAAGACTGAGGAGCACGATGAAAGCACCGACCAAGTGAAAGCTATCATCTGGCTCCCAGAAACCCAGCAGGCAGGCCTCAAATCTCAAGTGGAGGAAATTAATCCGGTCTGAACCTGGGCATGAGAGAAAGAGTTCTAAAGAGTCCTCCAGGAAACAGTCCACTTCAAGACAACGAGTGTGCAGCAGTCATCTCAAAGCAGGACAGGTTTTCCCTGCAGGGGATATTCGGCAGTGCCAGAGGACACCTAAGAATTGGACAGCGGGGGAAGAGAGCGGGCCTATTGACAGGCCAGAGCGGCGGTCATACACCCTACAATACACAGGCGATCCTCTCAACCAAGAACTACCAGGTCGAATGCAACAGTAAGGCCAACACAGAAATCTCAGTGTACCCTGAAGCCAAGCAGTCAGTAAACTCAGCCCACAGATAGAGTGCTTCCAGTCAGTATCTGAGCACCTCAATTTTACACATGCGTCAACATACATTATTTACAACACAGATCTGTAACCTGAAGAACAAAATCTTAGACAGAAAGAAACCCAGAAAACTAAAACTTTAAATCGAATGAAAGAAAATAAAAATTTTGAAAGGGACTGATTCAAGCAAGCAGAAAAAAGGTATTACATCCACAGAACAAGAATATGAATCTTTTAATCAGATTTTATTGGTATATTTTAAATATACTTAATGATCACATCATCATACAGAACATGATATAACTTGATTCTACATTGACATAAGTTGACTCTAATCCTAAGAGAAAATGTTCAGACAATGAGTAGTTAAAAATACGACAGAATAAAATAATTCAACAGAAGTTAAGAAAGACAATACTTAGGAACTCCATAAAAAAGAAAATAAAATGAAAAGACAAGTAGTGGAAAAAATAAAAGATGAGAAAAATCAGTGGACCAACTCAAGGACATGCATTGAGAAACTGGGCATAAAGAAACTGAGGAGGGTGGAGACCATCCAGAAATCAAGAAAACACTAAAAGCTGAAAGACATCAATTACCAAATGTAAAGGCTTCACCAAGTCCTGAGTCTACCAAAAGAACTTCAACAAAGCAATGTCAAAGTGAAATTTCATGGTAGCAAGCACAGAAAGTTCCAGAAATAAACAGAAACAGACTGACATTAAACCTCTCAACAGAAAAACTAGAATCTGAAAGGTAAAAAACCAGTAAAACCGTATGATAAGTGATTCTGAATGTAGAATTATCTAGTTGGCCATGCTATTATTCAAATATACGTTTATAAACAGAAAACACGTTATGGCTTGTATCTGGACGTCCCTCCGAAGTCTCACAGGCTCACAGGGGGGACTTTAGAGGCTGACTGAACCAGGGGATCTGATCATCATCAGTGGATTAGTCCACCGGCAAGTTTATAGTTAAATTAACACTGGCAGGTTGAACCTGGTCCCAGGAGGCGTGCCACTGGAGACGTGGCCTGGAAGGGTGCACCCGCCTCTCACACCCCGGCATCTCTCTACTTTCCCGCTGCCAGGCCATGAGCCACTTCCCTTCTGGCAGGCCCTTTAGCCAGACTGCCCTGCCTCGGACCCAGCTGACTATAGACTGAAACCTCTACAAACTGTGAGTCCAAATAAATCTTTTCACCCTCAATTTGCACATGCTAGGCCACAAAGAAAGTAACTAAGACACATGACTGTGCAACATTTCCCCCAAAAAAGTATCTAAAAACGCACATTTTCTCCAGAAAATCACACCTGGCAGCAGAATGACAGCCTTCCTCTAAACAAGGAAATAAACCAGAAGAGAAGATGTAGAAACCAGTATATCAGAAATCAAATACAAGCAAAATGCTAAGAAATTTCCAGGTTTAAAGAAAATAAAAAGGCAAAATCGATAGATTAACAACTGCATCTTTGTAGGAAACAATACTACTTGCAAAATTATTGACTTCAAAAAAGAAAAAAAGAAACAAAACATTGTTTACTTTAGCAGTAAAGTATTTATCTAACCATATATACAACTAATACTACCTAACCGGAATTTGTAAATCCTAAGTCACCATAACTACAAATGATTAATATGTAAACATAAAAAATGTAAGTCATACAAGCTTATTATTTGGAAATATGTAACTTGAAAATCTTTTATGGTTACACTTTCATCAAGCAAAGTTGAAAATCTTTTATGGTTGATGAAAAAGAGCAGCTTGAGGAACT